GTGTGTGTGTGTGTGTGTGTGTGTGTGTGTGTGTTTGTGTGTGTGTTGTCCTCACATATAAAGTTCAGTGAAAATAAGAGTACAAAAAACTGCAGTTAAAATTCAGATGTATTATTTTGATTAAAGTTCAGTACCTTATAAACTTGAAACACGTGTGACCATCCTAGAACTATGGAAGCCCATTTTCACCTTGGAATAAAAAAGGTAATTGCAACTTTATATCTCACAATTGGGACTTTTTTTTTTTCTTTTTTTTTTTTTTTTTTTTTGAATTGTAAGATATAAACTCAGAAATGTGAGAAAAAAGTTAGAATTCTAAGGTTATATCTCACATTTCTGAGTTTGTATCCTGCAATTCAATCTTTTTCTCAGATTTCTACGTTTCTATCTCACAATTGTTTTTTCCGCCGACAATTAATACAAAATAAAAAAGGTAATCACTACTTTTTATCTCACAATTCAGACTTTTCTTCTCCGAATTATGCTTATATCTTGCAATTCTGATTTTTTTTTTTCTCACAATTTTGAGAAAAACGTCAGAATTGTGAAACTAACTCAGAATTGTGAGGGGGAAAAAAGGCAAAATTGTGAGGAAAAAGGTCAGAACTGTGAGATAAAATCCAGTGGCTTCATACTGAATATGTATTGCTTTTTAATCAATTTCCATTGATTACTTGTTATTATGTGAACCCAATAAAGTTATACAAATCCATAATACAATGTTTATTTTATGTGCTTATGTACATAAATGTCAGTTTACAAATTTCTTTCAGAGGCTTGACTTTTTAAAAGACATTGTGGAGGATTTTTGTAAATCCGCCTTTTCTGGTCCAGCAGGTTGCCGTAGTTCTACTATATAATTATCTTTAGCCACTCCTCCTGACTGGATTTGTTCTTTATTCATTCTACGATGAAGGTGAGAACAACAACTACATATTGCATTAATATATCTTGATTTAACAATGTAAACTTCGAGCATTCGATTTTATTATGTATACAATTACATATACAGTATACGTATTTTCGTTATTAATACTGTATAAGATATTAATAACATCATAATACACAATCATGTGTATTATGATACTACTACGTAATTGTAATGAGGTTGTCGTATAGCGTGGTGTAAAATAGTATTGCCGATGCATTAATGACAGTAAATTATGGTCGATTGTTACATATGCAGTTTAGAGACAACATAACGCTGTCAGCTTCTGCTTAAAACTGGCCGAAACCGCCCACGTGTTGCACGCGACCGCGTCAGCCGGTAGTTTAACGCCAAAACGTTGCTCTGCAGTGCAAACAACCTGAAATCTGCACTTCAGATCTTTAAAAAATCTAACGGAGTTGTCGTGTTTAAGCACTGTGGGTTATTTTTACTCTTGCACACAACAGCGCTGCCTTTTGAGTTGACGCAGCGCGGCTTGCAATAGCGTGCTTGTGTCAGTAGGGGGCGCTGCTGTCAATCACAGTGGAAAGCACTGGAGCCACACTGAACCCTCTCTAGTGAGGGGTCTAATTTACAGACAGAAACGAAGAAATAAATCTATAATTATGTTTTAATTCCACTACAGACCCTGAATGAAGAACTTTTTCTTCCTGTTTGGAAACCACCTTGATATTTCACTATCAGGTAAGGATTTACTTTGTCAGCAATATTTTAAGCATATATGGTGGGTCTCTGCTGAAGGACTAATTATGTTACCTTAAAGGGGTCATATGATGTTGCTAAAAATAACATTATTTGGTGTATTTGGTGTAATGCAATGTGTTTATGCGGTTTAAGGTTCAAAAAACACATTATTTTCCACATACTGTACATTATTGTTTCTCCTCTATGCCCGCCTTTCTGAAACGTCGATTTTTACAAAGCTCATCGGTCTGAAAAGCGAGGTGTGCTGTGATTGGCCAGCTATCCAGTGCATTGTGATTGGCCGAATACCTCAAGCATGTGACAGAAATGTTACGCCCCTTACCATACTGTGTTTCCGTCATACAGTCTATGGTTTCCATGTATCCCGGCGCGTCAAGAGCTTGTAACACTCCAAAGAGAAAGGAAAAATTGAAATCGCATCATATGACCCCTTTAAAATAATCTGAATAAGTTGAACATCTTACTGACCCCAAACATAGCTATATATAATTTTTATTACTAAAAGCATTTTACATAATTTCTCAATTTCATAAAACTGCATAATAATTATATACAAATCAGAAAAATATGTTTTTGGAGAAGTCTAGCATGGCATTTCACTTCAGCTACCCATCATGTGTGCAGTCTTGTGTAGTGATGTGTTTGTGTGTTCTATGGGTTTTGCCCCATGAGACGTAACTCTGGCAGTGATGCCACTGTTGTGCTAAAAGTGGGCAGAAAGAAACTGGCTTGCGATCGACCCTGCTGTCCTGTATGGTGGACCGGGGGCTTGGAACGAGGCCGGATAACCCAACCCAGACCTCTGTGTGTGTGTTAGTGCCCATGTCTGTCTGTGAAACCCTTTCCAAATACTCCATTATTCCACATTAATGTTTCTTTGTATTTGAGTATTGTAGATTCTAACATGTGTTTTTGTGACTCATGGACTCAAAACGGCACAAGAAATAGATGAAATGGAGCTGCACTTCACTTGGGTTGTGACCTAGAGTCTTAAAACAGTACAACTCTGAAGAGGTCAAAAGTCGACTCTGCAGCAAGCTGGAGTAGTAAGTCACACACACACACACACACACACACACACACACACACACACACACACACACTTGTTGCTCCTCGAGGCGTTACAGCACAGCTGAACGTGCTGTGTCTGTGTCATGAGGAAGCAAAGAGCAGCAGGGCGCTAGAAACTACACTTTGTACCCATAATTCCACAGTGCAAAGAATGAATGACAGCCCCTACAAACCAGCATGAGACCGTTTCAAGCAGGGATATGAATCCTGTATGGTTGGACCTGAACATGATCTTAAAGAACCGACAAACAGAGATGGTTTGAATAATAGACCAATCTTTCCCATTTCCATACAACTTTACACAACTGTAATGCTGGTATCTGCACTATTTATATCCGTAGTATTATTTTAAGATGAACACTTAACTGGACTGAAGCAGCTTAGGTTCACTTGATTATCCATACATCAGTTTTTAGAAAAATCATGTTAAAATGTAAGTATCAAAAATGATCATCAGGCCTTTTAGGAATGCTTATTTGTAACCCTGGACCACAAAACCAGAAAAAATAAGGGTCAATTTTTCGAAATTGTGATTTATACATCATCTGATAGCTGAATAAATAAGCTTTCCATTGATGTATGGTTTGTTAGGATAGGCCGAGATTTGGCCGAGATACAACTATTCGAAAATCTGGAATCTGAGGGTGCAAAAAAATCAAAATACTGAGAAAATCGCCTTTAAAGTTGTCCAAATGAAGTTCTTAGCAATGCATATTACTAATCAAAAATTAAGTTTTAATATATTTACGGTAGGAAATTTACAAAATATCTTCATGAAACATGATCTTTACTTAATATCCTAATGATTTTTGGCATAAAAGAAAAATCAATAATTTTGACCCATACAATGTTTTTTTGGCTATTGCTACAAATATACCCCAGCGACTTAAGGCTGGTTTTGTGCTCCAGGGTCACATTTGTTCATCTCTCAATTATCATTGTATTGCATCACATTATATGTTTTAATCATAAAACTAAGCATAAATATTCTACTAAGACATTATTGGGAGATATCTATGCATTTAATGTAAGTAGTCTGTTGTACTGTTGTTATAAAAATCTGAGTGATTTACATTACAACTGATCAGAATTTCATCTACTTTTTGTCCATATAAATATCAGCAACAGCACCAAATGGCATAATTTTACATGGTTTGGGTCTGAATAAAACTGAAAAAATGTAACTAAAGATATAAAGAATGGTCCCATTGAAAATAAAATAAAAAATAAAATTGGCCTAATAATTAATGTCAGGCTTTACAGGGTTAAATGGTGTCAAAAATATAATTTCACAGATCTCCCCCTCAAATCAGTGCAGAAAATACAACAAGTGTGCAGATCTTTTCTGCCGATGAAACTGCATGCTTTCTGTTAAGTGTGTTGTGATTATTTTTACTTTCTCAAAAATGGAGCATTGCTTTCATCTTTATTTTGCTTTATTTCCAGAAATGTGACAAACCATATGGAACAAGTCAGCTGACTGCAACATTTACACCTGTGTGTTACATACCTGTGTCTGCGGTTGTTGATCTCCACTTGCTTTTTGGGCCATGATGGAGTAGTCCATCTGAACAAGATCATCTGATCATCACCCATCACATTAGTGCATGACACTTTATTCTTTAGTTTTTTAACAAGCTACAAACTGTACAGAATTGTTTCACTCAAATCAATAATCCATTTATCTATTTATTTTGAAGGACAGGTCAACTAGACATTATCACAAAATAAACCCTCTCTGAGTTTTGATGATCTGTTTGTTTTTTTTTAATATATATATAATCTATAAAGTAAGATATGCTATAATGCAGTGTTTAATTATAGCATATTTTATGAAACTAACAAATTGGCACATGTAATTATTCTTACTTGTGATAAATTTGTTTATTACTACCATTAAAAATTATTAAATAACAGCGTGTTTTAGGTTTGTCCAACATGTGAATTTACATGTTTTTGTCCTTTAAGTGACATGTCCTTTTAAAGGTGAGGTGGTTTTGGGAGGCCTCCCTGGACTAATAGATGCTGATCCGTTATTTCTTTCTAAAGGTCGAGTAAAAGGATACGTGCTGTTGTGTCTTTAGAACAAATGCTGTACTTTGTGTGCCTGTGCTTCACCAAAAAAAGAAAAAAACACCCCATATATATATATATATATATATATATAAAAAAAGACAATTTAAGTTTCAAACATTTACTCATCAATGAATAACAGCTGAACAAATTGATGTAGGTCAAATAAATTAGTATGTAGGAGCCTTAACAAGGCCCCATGCTAATTGTGCTGCTCTCCTTGCAGAGGCACAAAATAAAATAAACATAGTACATAAAATCGTTTCATTCATAATGTGAAATTGTACTAAAGCCTACTGCACACTAGAAAGACAGAAACTCATCATCCTTTATGATTTATATCTGAAATCAACTCAAAATCACCTAAATGTACCTGAATCTGTGCAAGAACAAAATTTCAGGATCGTTCCCAAGTTGGGGGGGAGAATGATCTTGAAAGTGAAAAGAGGAAACATTTCAAGTTTTTAAATGTGCACTTGGTACTTCTTGTTGGTTATTTGTGGGATGTGCATGTTGTTTAGCAGTAATGAAATGAGATTTGATTTGTTTCACTAGTGTAAGAGATGTTTATAAAACTGCCTACTGAGAGTCAAGGAGATGTGTTTACAGTATGCACACGCACTTTCAGGTTTATATGCGGATATGTTTTATAAGCCTGCACATATACAGTCACTAGACTGTGATTCCTTAAACGGTGCACTTTGTTTACCGTGACACCCTAATTCCATTTAATCTAGGATTAATGTTAATAGTCATTTTTTTCCAAACACATTCAGACATAAACACGCAAACCCTGAGAAACACGAAGTAATCTCACTGTTCAAGTACAAATCCCATCACAAACTCTCCAGAACAAGCACACACACTTAACACAACATACACCTTGTAAAAAGACAATATATAACCCTCACTCGTTCCGTCTTGGTTGTGTTGCATGTTTTGGTGTACAGTCCCAACACTTCCTGACTTCAAAGTTAGGGTGCTTCCAAACATTGCTAAAGATCCATTTCTTCTGTACTGAAAGTCAAAATAGGTGTGGCTGTAGTTTGAGTAGTGTTCCAGGAACAATCCTGCTGTTGCAACCAAACGTTGCATGTCTTGCTTAAGGGTGTCGTGGTTGTAGAGCCAGACCATCCTCTTAGAAACTCTTTCCTTGGGTGACTTCTTGGAATTGACCCTACTATCCTTGTGCTTGCAGCCCAGATCCTTAACCAAAAGTTCACCAAGAAGGACTCATTTGGGAAGGGTTTGCACGGTCAAATGAACGTCCTCTAGTTGTCTTTGTTCCTTACTTCACCTTGGACTTTTCAGCCAAAGGAAAGAGATTCTTCTGAAGGTGTTTCTATAGGGTTAAAGGGTCTTCAGGGGATTCATTCAAGTAAAATAGAGGGTGTGGATGTAGAGCAAGACAGTCCTGTCTGAAACTCTCCTTTCCATGGGTTACTTCTTGGAACTAACCCTATTATCCTCGGGTTAAAGGGTCTTCAGGGGATTCATTCAAGTAAAATAGAGGGTTTGGATGTAGAGCAAGACAGTCCTGTCTGAAACTCTCCTTTCCATGGGTTACTTCTTGGAACTAACCCTATTATCCTTGTGCTTGCAACCCAGAACCTTACCCACAAGTACACCAAGCAGAGCTCCAAGATATCATTTGGGAAGGGGATACATGGGCAAAGAAACGCCCTACAGTTGGTTTTCTTCAATTAAGTCTTACTTAACCTTGGATATTTCGGCAAAAGGAAAGAGATTGTTTCGAAGGTTTTTCTATTAGCATTAAAGGGTGTTCAGTTGAGTCACTAAAGTAAAAGAGAATGGGGTTGTAGAGCAAGACCGTCCCCTTGGAAACTCTTCCCTTGGGTTTCTTCTACTAGGAACTAGCCCTACTATCCTTGTGCTTGCAGCCCAGATCCTTAACCAAAAGTTCACCAAAAATAACTCATTTGGGAAGGAGTTGCATGGTCAGAAAAATGTCTTCACTTAACTTTGTTCCTATTGAACAGTCTTCACCTTGAACCTTTTGGACAAAGAAAAAAAGTCTTCTATAGGCGTTTCTATAAGGTTAAAGGTTTTTCAATTGAGTTGTTGAAGTAAAACAGAGGGTGGGGATGTAGTGTATGCCCTTTCAGAACTTCCATTCACCAACTTCCCATGTTCACAATTGATGTTCGACAAATTTGAAGTCCGTAGTGGCTGTCAGAGTTCAGCTATTCTGTTGGCACCCCAGAACCTACTTTACTGACCCCACTTTTGTTCTCTGGAAGTCTCCAATTCTCTTGCTCTTCATTGCCTTTCTCTTGATAATCATATGTTGGTCTCAAGAGTACTTGGTATTTGAGATCTTCTTCCACAGTAACGTTTTGAGGTTGTTCAAAACAAGGGAATGATGCACTTCCATCTGAGAAGCCAGTCCACTGAGAGTCACACAGGTGCGTAACTGTTTCTCCAGGTCCTCCCTCAGGTCCAATGGTGCTCCGAAAAGCAGGAAGTCTTGCAGGAGCGCGCACACCTTGGCCAAGTTGGGCTGCACCACCTCCACGTTGCACTGCCTTGCCAATCGGTCACACGTTGCAGTACAATCCCGCCCGTAAGTGCAATCGGCGTTTGCCTCGCAAGTCCTCCCTCGCAGGAACCCCTTGACAGTTGCCTCCGATGCTACGCTTTGAAGGTCTGCCATTTTGAAGTCGTATTTCTCATTGTAGCCGACCCGTCTTGGGCTTGCATCACATATGTAGAAGCTTCCATATACACCATGGAATACCTCTTCGACGAACTCTAGCAGGCCGATGGTGATCCGAGCCCTACGGGGCCACGCAGGAGCGAGCCACTGGTTAAAAGCGACACTCAGCGCCTCAGGAAACACTGGCTGCAGCCAACCAGGCACCTCCAGCCTGAAGAGGGCGCTGTGTGCTACACCTTCAGTCACGTAAAGGTCTCCGCAGAAGCCCAGCAAGCGGGGAGCGTGTTCTTTATCTTGCAGTGCCACCATTAAAACAAATTCATTGATCTGAAGCAAAGCCCACACGGATTTCGCCTCCGCTAACGAAACTTTGCCATCGCCATTGACATCCGCCAGAGAAATCACACGAGTTACAAGAGTGCCAAGAGATGACTGCTCACCAACACTGTCCTGTGAATGAATGGAAGAGGGAGAAAGACATTTTAGAACCTACAACGTTTTATTTCGTAGACTGAATATTATTTATTGGTAATTGAATTACAAAATTTTTATATTGTTTATACAGAAATAATAATAAATAAATTAATGGCCAAAAACTAAATAAATAAAAATGTGAATAGCAATTTAAATTGCCCAATTAAATGTTTTTCTCAATTTCTCACACGTCACTGGGGGTAGGACATTGAAAGGATTGTTCCTTTTAAAAAAAATTGCCAACAATAATCTTTGTCTTACGTCACAGCCATGAACTACGATTTACTACTTTCGATTTCTAGTCAAGAGGTTGGTAGTATTTATAATTTAGAAGGGGACATTTTCATTCTAGAGAGCATTTTATCGGAGAAAAGTCTATATAAACATATCTGTATGAGATCATTGTCAATATTTTTGGATTGTTTTCCTGGGAGATAAAGAGTAAAAATAATTTGTCAATTTTAGTAGTAGCAAGCATATACACTAGCATACAGATTAGCCTCAACACTAACCTACATGGACTACAAACCAGAAAACTAATTTTTATTTCATGAGATCTTTAAAGCACAGTCTTGACCAGCATTATGAGTGTGTAAGCATGCACAGCCATTTACAGCACTTTGTTTAAATGTGTGTTAATGTTGTTCTCCCCTGTGAGAGTGAGTGTATTGTTCTGGCTGTGACCTTTTCAGGCTCCTTCAGTTATTTTTGGCTTCTCTTCCCTGTTACCCCACTCCCTCCCCGACTTTCTCTCCATTTTCACCCTCCTACAGGGGACCTTGAGGAACAGCCGAAAGCTCAGAGAGGGTTAGACTGTCTTAGATCTGTTTCTGCTTTGCTAAGCAGGACATAAACCTCTCCAATATCAGTCACAACAAGGGCTGGGTGATATATTGAAATATTCATGATATATTTCTGATCATTAGATTGGTGATTTGATTCTTTTGGGTCACCACATTTGTCATGTATTAAAATGCTTTTATTATCTATTATAAAATAGATATTTATTATAAAATATCATATGCTAATGGCTGTTTAGTGGAAAAACTGCGTGGAAGCACCAAGTTTGAATCAGATTCTTACTTGCATTTAACATTCTCAATTGACTTGAAATCAATGGCTTTTAGGTTAAAATAATGGTTCTAATTAAATGCATACATTTTGGGATATCTATTCATTGTCGTTAAAAGATTAAGAAATGTCGAGATACAACATTTTTGGCTATATCAGCCAGCCATAGTCACAAAATCTGTACCACGACAATTCAAGTTCAAATTCAAAACATCAAGTTCTAGAATTTAAGGACAAATGTTCTAGAACTCTATGAGTAAAAAACTGGTTTCTGTGTCAACTGCAGGTCTGATTGATTGTTGTATTTGTGTATAATGTGAAAAATGATGAAAAAGAAAAAAAATAGTTAAGACCTTGAGAAAGGAATGCAGCATCGCTCTGAATTCATCCATGGATGTTCCGCGGGTGGGTTTATCGTAGAGGTTGTTTTCAT